CTGACAGGTCTGCAAGCGATTTCTGGTAAGGAAAAACTCTGTTTCCTCCAAAATGTTTCATATAAACACATTGTGTTTCGCTGCTATAGGTCCAAATTAAACAAAGGCGGAAGGGAAAAGATTATAATCGTGCTTAACATTAATTTAGTAATTATTACCAGATAGAAATATTAGCAAGAAAGTTTTCATTTGTTTCCTAATTCACCCACCGGTATTTTCAATATCTTGCCTTTTTCACCCTAAATTGCGCCTTACTCTTGTTCTCTGTTGTTCTCCTTCTACTGACAAAATCGGTAGAGTTTTGAGAAATTCAGCATTTCTCCATTACCCCTTCTATTGAAAACGCCAATGCCCATTAAAGAGTAAAAGGAGGGAATGTGTCACTTAACTAGGTAACAATTCTTATGTTGTAGCCTTTAATATGACGGTTCTTCAGCCTTTCGTCGTAGCATGGCAAGTGTTAAAATGTCGAAGCCAATATGCCTTGTTTCATGGAATCCATAGACCTTGGACGTGATACATTATTTCTTAAAACTGTTCCTTCTACCCTCTCTGACCAAACTTCTCTCAACAACGGTTTAGTACCGTACAGTACCGTACAACCGTTACATAACATTTTTCCGGCATCTGTCAATCTGGCACACATGCTAAGCTGGGCCCATTCTCTGAGGAATTTGTAACTTTGAAAATCTTCTTAACTGATGGCTCAGTATTTGCCGATGTGAAAGATGAGATTGCTAATCAGTATCCTTAAAATTTTTTTCGACGCGCCACCACTTTTATCTGAGCAATTTAAGGATGAAAGTTTTGACCTATTTTCTAGGTTCTGTGCTTGCATCTTTATTTGTCTACATTAGACCATATTGCAAGGATATTATAAAGCGACATGACATCCAGAGCTGTTTTTTTGTGAAGAATATGCTTGTAGGTCAAAAGTGTAAGACAACACAATAAGAGTCTACTCTCATCTGGTAAAATATTCACTTTGCAATAGATGCTACGCAGATATAACTAAATACCGAAGCCACAGAAGATTCTCCCTTTTCCCTCACCCCTCCTAGTTTTTAGTGAATTTGCTTCATCAGGGCTGAGCAAATGAAAGCGTACCACCTCACAATTAGATGTGTAACCGATCCGTGATCTAAGTGCGAGTATGAGTTGGTAAGGTCGCCATGAGGAAAACAGTAAAAGCAATTGTACTTCCAATCTTTTCTACAATTGTTACGTAAATTAGAGATTTTTCAACCAAATTGTTATAAACTGAGTTACCCAAACTAGGGGATCTCAACATCTCTGATACAGTAACCTAAGTTTTACAGCTCTATTACTGTAAATCCTTGCTATCTGTAATGCAGATATAGGACCTACATTAGTAGATCGCTGTAATGCATGCGAAAATTGGTTGAAACGATAACCAGCTCTATGTAACTTCTTTAGAATAATTTATATACTACTAAGAGTGCGCCAAGTTACAAGTGCTTACGAAGTGTTATATCATAAGCCCAAACGTTCAACTGCAAATGCACAATAAAAGCCTCAATCGCGGA